CTCTATAGTTGAGGTTCTCTTACGGCTAAATTCTGACCAATGCATGATTACGAAAATGGAGCACATCCACAAATGACAATAGGCCAAAAAAAAAACAAAAGGGATAATTTCATTCACAAAAAAAAAAAAGAGAGTCCCATTACAAACGGAAAATTAAAGGCGAATCACAGGGATTTCAATCTCAGTTCCGCCTCACGAATTTCTTCAGCATGGCGAAGCTCAAGCCTCCTTAGGACCTCTCGACGAATATCTTCCTCTGTGCATGAGATCAAATCCTGAATAGCCTCCCTGACATCCTTGAGAGCTCGATCCTTCTCCTCAACAGAGACCTTAAGTTTCAATGCAAGGATGTTACTAGAATGAATCATTGTTTTTGCATTAGCTAATAAAACCCATCATTGGACTGCCATATCTACATTTCAGGTTATAGCCGCCTATGTTGTGCTTCTGAATAGGTTGATGGAGACACATGCAACCTATGCGAAGGACATACACATATGTAGTCCTTGGGTAACCGTAAGTAGAAATCCAATTCAAGATTGTAAGTAATATTCATAAGCTATATTAAATACTTACTCTTGACTTTCTTTGTTTTTTTAGAGATGCATCAACGAAAATAAACCGTCAAGTGTGGATCGAATGTTTAGGCCAATAACGTCAAGTCGCTTCCAAGAACTTGATAAGATTATTTTCCCACTCCTAACTTCATATCATTGGCATATGTTGGTATTCTCTGTAAAGGATAGGAGATTTTATCATTATTCTTCCCTCCGCGGGTATATGTCCGATGCTATTGAGTTTAGAGTGAAGCTTATTTCTACCATTCCCGATGCTTGGAACTTAGACATTAATTCTTGTCAGGAGGTAGAAAGTGTTGATGTACCGCAACAACGTGGGTTAGTGTATTCGACTTATTCATATGTTGTTTTTTAATGTGCTAACACTCACATAGAGAGTATATATTGCGGGCCAAGAGTGTTATATTGATGTTGCAAACATTTAAACTTGCAGTAGTATGGATTGCGGGGTGTTCTTGATGGCGTACATGTTTAGCCTCGTTTCCGGTCAACCAGTTTCAATTCACCAGAAGGATTGTGCAAGACATAGAGCTCGCATTGTTGCTCTAATTCTATCTGAAGGTACATTTTTTATACGTTTAATGTTCATTCAAACGCTATATTCATTGTATTGTTCTTTTGATCCACTTACATGTTGCTTTCAGGAAATCAACCATCATGACCCTCAAGAATGCTACATGCCATATTTGTTCTTTTGATCCACTTATACTCAGTGTGTTGTATTGTTCTTGTCAGGATGCTACATTGCCAATTGTGATATCCAATATTTTTTGTGTACAAATATATTTTGGAAATTGATTTGTGACGTATTTGTATAAATGTATATTGATAGAAATGCCAAGTTCTGTGGCAATGCAATGTTGTATGGTGTATGTAGATTGTCTGGAAATGTTGTATGTGCTGGAAATATGGTATGTTGTATGTATGTTCTGTGGCAATGCAATGTTGTATGTTGTATGTGCTGGAAATGTTGAATATATTGATAGAAATGCCAAGTTCTGTGACAGGTTAATGTTGTATGGTGTATGTAGATAGTCTGGAAATGTTGTATGCGCTGGAAATATGGTATGTTGTATGTATGTTCTGTGGCAATGCAATGTTGTATGTTGTATGTGCTGGGAATGTTGAATATATTGATAGAAATGCCAAGTCCTGTAAGTATAGCACGTTAACCAGTAAGTATAGCACGTTAACCTGTAAGTATAGCACGTTAACCAGTAAGTATAGCACGTTAACCTGTAAGTATAGCACGTTAACCAGTAAGTATAGCACGTTAACCTGTAAGTATAGCTCGTTAACCTGTAAGTATAGCATGTTAACCTGTAGGTATAGCACATTAACCTGAGAGTACAACATGTTAATCGTAAGTATAGCACGTTATATGGAAAAGTATAGCATGTCTTCCATTGATTACAAACACATAGGATACATACAAAATTATGACAAAAGTATAGCATGTCTTTCATTCATCCAAAAGTGTAGCATGTCTTACATCCAAAAGTATATCTTGTCTTACACGTCAAAAGTATAGCATGTTTTCTGTCCAAAAGTATAGCGTATCTTCTATCCAAAAGTATAGTATATCTATCCAAAAGTACAGCATATCTTCTAACCAAAAGTATTGTGTAGACCATATCTAGTCGGCAATAGGCTGTCTACATGTTCTACGGTTGTGACCATACTGTTGACATCTACTACATTTTAACTCTTTGGCCGGATTCAATCCCGAAGGAATGCGCTTTGTCCTTGGTCTTCCACGAAGAATTGAAGTTGTTGGTGGCCGAATCACCATATTTTCATCATCTATATATGGCTTGTCATCGTCAGGAATTGGGTATATCGGAAAGGAGTAGCATTTGCGGTATGTCTCCGCACTAAAGTAGTGGGAAATATAGGAGTAAAGGGTGTCCATATTCTGCCGAATAACCGTCGCCGCATGTTTGCAAGGTAGCCCGACTACTTGCCATTCATGACAAGTGCATGTGCGTTCATTCAAATCTACTTCAACGGTGGGCAAATCATACACCTCGTACCTTCCGGTAGTAGAAGGAATTGCAGAAAGACAACGTGATTGCTCATTAATCTGAATAAGGTGCTCTTCCACAGTGGGAACAAATGTTGTGGTCCACTTGTGGGATGCCTCCCGCCTTTCAAAACTCATCCTCATCATTTTCTTGCGAATGTTATCAATTGTTTGGGTAATTGGCAAATAACGAGCTTCTTTGATCCAAGCATTGAATGACTCCGCTAGGTTTGATGTCAACCATCCATATCTACATGCATGTCAATAAATAGTAAGTATAGCAGGTACATATATCTTGAAGGTTTGCATTTAAAATTTAAAAAAAAAAATAAAATTTTACCTCTTCCCAGGAAAATAACAATTAGCCCAATTTTCTGGACTCATCCTCAACATTTCACAATAGGCGATCTCTGATTTATGCCGTAGCTCGTTACATTCATTGTTATAGGAACGAGAAGTGTATGCATAAGCGGCCCTCTTCATAATTTGCACACATTCATCTCGTAAAGGTGGTGTAATGCCTTTTTTCGATAAGTTATTCTTAAAATTAGCCAAGAGATGACGAATACAATAAGAGTGATGTGACCATGGAAAGCATTTCTTCACGGAATTCTGAAGTCCTTTGTCCCTATCAGAGATTAACACCAGTTCATCATCTGGAGTATATGGATCTTCATCATTGAAGAGGATGTCCCGAATGCATTCCAAAAACCATTCCCAATTACTCTCATTTTCCGTCCCGCATATGCAAATTGCTACGGGAAACATACCTCCATCTCCGTTTAAAGCAGTTGCGGCAAGTAAGGTTCCTTTATACCTATAAAAGAAAAGAACAATCATGAATCAAAGTATAATATTTTAATATGAAGTAGTACATTAATGCAAGTTTTGATTAGATTGAACTCTACCATACCTATCAAAAAGATGAGTACCATCCAAGAACAACATTGGCCTACATCCCTCCATAAACCCCTTCCAACAAGCATAATAAGATACAAATACTCGTGTAAATCTTCCGTCTTCATGCTCTAAGTGAACAATTGATCCCGGATTGGTTTCTATAACTTTATCCTTATACCATCGGAGTTGGTCATATGAAAATTTAGTATCACCATACAATTCACGTTGAGCTAGCTCTTTTCCCCACCAAATTCTATGATAAGGGACGTCCAAACCAAATTCCATTTTAAGCTTCTTTTGGAAATCAATTGGGCGATAAGTGGGTTGTTCCTTCAATATGGTCTTGAGTTGATTAGCATTCCACTTACGAGATGCCCGTTGATATCCTTCCTTTCCTATGCCTCCTCCCAAGCAACTATGAGAACTACATATTTTTTTCACATAGAATCGATCACTATCTCTACGACGGGTGCAATGAACCATCCATTCGCAGTTTGCGGCCTTGCATTTTGCTGTCACCCTTTTGCGTTCATTTTTTACAAATTCAAAGTTAAATCCTCGTGCAATAGAGTAATTGCTTAAACTCCGCCGACAATGCTCAACATCATCAAATTCTTGACCAACACTTCTAATAGCATTGTGCCATGCAATAGGAATCATATTAGAGCTCTCAACTTCCCGAGACATATTTTGTGAATACGATGGATTTTGTGAACGAGACACATGTTCGTCACTAGAGGGGATATACGGATTACTGCATAGAAAATTGTACAAGAGTTAAGAAAGTGATAATGTTAAAAGTACGAAACTATATCAATAGTGTAAATTACCTTATATGGACATTGTTAGCTTGTATCCCAAATAATATGTCTCGATTCATCTCAGCGTTCATGACAACAATATTCTCCTTGCAACTTCGATGTACATTGACCATTATCGAGACATCAGCATCATCACATACACGAACATAAATTTCTTGCGTGTGGGGTACTTTGTAAGTCAACTGTATCGTGCTTGCACTACAAGCAATTAGGCTTTGCACTGCAACGGCCAAATCTTTGTAACCCCCGTTGACATTTAATTCTAAAAAGTGATTGTGTCCTCTAAAATCCGTCAATGCACAATACAATTCTTCATCCATCTATATTTATCACCAAAAATAAACAAATTTAGAGAAAAATTTCACAAAAGATAGACACGTAAAATTAATAATTTTATGAACTCATTTAACTAAATTTGACTAAATTTTACCAAAACTAACATTTTACCAAAATTGACGAATTTAATAATTTTTATGAACTCATTTAACTAAATTTGACTAATATTTAACTAATTGTTATGAATTCATAAAGAATAAAGAATAATGAGAAATTAGTGTGAAATAATTACAAAACCTCATTTAACTAACATTTTACCAAAATTGACGAATTTAATAATTTTTATGAACTCATTTAACTAAATTTGACTAATATTTAACTAATTGTTATGAATTCATAAAGAATAAAGAATAATGAGAAATTAGTGTGAAATAATTATGTGAAATTAATGGGTGGTTAATTACAAAACCTCATTTAACTAATATTTTACCAAAATTGACGAATTTAATAATTTTTATGAACTCATTTAACTAACATATCAAATAATTATCATGATTAAAATGAGAAATTAATGCTATAAACTTGATAGTTGAGTAAATTGCAAGTTTGTACCTTCAAATGCTAAGAAAGTTGGTGAGAAATAATTGCTAGGTTATAGGAGAGAGTTATTAAATGATGGGTTAAAGGAGAGTGTTCGGTTATATTAATGGGGTGAGAGAGATAGAAGACGGAGAGAGAGAGAGAGAAGACGGAGACGAAGAGAGATAGAAGACGGAGAGAGAGGGGAGGAGGGAATTTTACCGCCACTTTTCTCTCTCTCTCTTTCTCTCTCTACATTTTTTTATTTTATTTGAGGGGGGGCCACCTACATGAAAGTTATAAGTGGATGGTTATTATTGGAATTTTAGAAAAGTAAATAGTGGGACCCACATATGAGAGTATGGTATTTTAGAATTGTGTTTCAAAATAAATACAAAAAGTACATTGGACTTAAGGATACAAAAAATAGTACTTGGGTTTAAAAATAAATGGAAGTAAACAAATGGACCTAAAAGTAAAAATCCCTTTTTTTAATTATCAAAAAAAAGGAGAAAACGAACTGGAGATAAAAAAACTGAAATATCTTCACAACCGATTATAGCAGAAAACAATAAATTTTTCTTATAATAGCTATTTTAAAAATGCTCTTATGAAATTATTCTTCATATAATATCTTAATTATGTACAAAAGAAATTTAAAAATTAATACAGAATAATCAGATTCAAATCCTTTCTAACTAGACAGTAATAGCATAGGATCTAATCACCACTCTCACGAAAGTAATTTTCATAATAGCAGTTTCAAGACGATAGCTAGTTTCATTTCATCGTTTGAAATTAGAACAAACAATGAAGATTGCGAAATTAGAGAGACCTATATTCAAACATAAGATTGCGAAATTAGAGAGGCCTATATTCAAACAGAAATGAGTTAGTTGCATAGAACCCCAAACCCATATGAACTTTTGGGAAGTTGCAGTAAATCTCCATGAGCTCTTTTAATTACAGTAAAAGCCTTGCGCTTTAGGAGTTGTTGCATATAATCCTCATGAACTATTTTATTTCACTAACCTTCACATAAAACTTTGTCATTTAATCTCCAAATTAGCTAACATATCATGTGACAAACATGTGCCAAAAAACAAAAAGATGATAACAATTTCGTAACCCCAAATAATGGCCTACTTTACCTTTTTAATAAAATGACATTTCTTTAGGACTAATAAAGAATTTTTTTTTTACCATGTGCTTATCAGCGACACGTTAGAGCTGATGGTGCTAATATTGGGATTAAAAGTTAAATTTTCAGGTAAGATTTAGCAGAATAAACCAGCTCATAAGAGATAAGTGCAATAACTCCTAAAGTTCGAGGGGTATAGTCTAATAAAAAAAGGTTGATGGGAGATTTACTGCAACTCAGTAAAAGTTCACGGGGTTTTCTGTAATTAATCAAACGAGTAAGGACACGCGCCGTGCACGTGACAATCCTGAAGCCGAAGAAGCGATGACTCAGTATTTCAGCGCTCTCGAGAGAGCACACGTATGGCAGCTCCTCTGTTCACCACCGCCTCCTCTCCCCTTCTCACCCCACTCTCTCTGCGAGCGAAACAGCGGTCACTTAATCTCTCCGCCCTCTTACTCTCCTTCGCCTCCCGCCTGTCTTCGATCCCGCGA